CCTGCTGCCGCAGCGCATGGGCGGGTCGAGCGGCACCGGTGGACGAAGCACGAGACCCGACCCTGCGGCGCCGCAGACGATCGGCACGGCCGTCACGAGGCCGAAGAAGGGCCCGCGGGCGCGACGGTCGCGGAGGAGCCGTGGGAGGAGCACGGGCTCGAGACCATGTCGTCGAGGGGTGGCGCGAATACGCCCGTCAAGGAGCCGCCGCCAGGGTGGCTACCGATCAATGATACTTGGAATCGAGGCCCTTATGGCGTGCATGATAGGGTATGAAACGGCTAGGGAGGATGTAATGAATGTGGTGTGGTTTCATCAATCTCGAGCGTGTGCGCTGCGTGGTGTGAAATTTGGTGTGGCTGGCCGACCTTGGGCCTGGTTCATCGGCTTCTTCAAGGTAAGCAGCCATGATGGAGTTGTTGCCATTGGGAGGGACAGACGTGTGTCGTAGGCTTCAGTGTGATGTCACCGCTCTCCAGCGGCTGTTGGTCATCGAGATGGCTCCTTGGACGTATTGTCAACGACCTGGGACATTGTCAAGTTTTCTTAGTCTCCATCCAGAGGCATCGTGACGACCCACTTTCCGACTACCTAGTACAATCAGCGGAGGCTTCTGCACGCTCTGGACGGCAAGCCCGTGCTAACAGCATTTGTTTCTGGAGAACTCGTCAATCAGCCTGAAGACTCTGAAGCTCGTCATTAGAATTGGCAAAGGAGTGTCGTTGCCCATGTAGCATGGCGCATTTATCGGCAATGCTCTCTTTGCTGCAAACTACCGGGTGGCGATGAGTTCAGCTAAGTGATGAAGAGAAGTAAGCCCTAGCAGCATTATGGGCAAGCTGAAAATCAGGAAGAAGCTTCATGTGCAGAGTGTTATTACACGGGGTCTGGTCATCTTGACCTAACAGCGGGCCAACAGCAGAGAAACGTTGGCGTGCGAGATGTTGAGTAGTTATAGACGATGAGTCTTGGCTGAGATGAAGTACTACGGTAGTACATTTTGTGATTGAAGAGTTTCCTGCCGCTGGCTAGACGCAGAACTCTGCGGGCTGGGCGTTTGAATGAGTCGGAGTGCGTAAGATAGTGTCAGTGTCCACATTCCTTAAACGAATGATGAAGGAAAGATTAGTTGAATTGGATCTCATATTTAACACATAGATTAGCACCAGAATTTTGCAGGAACCATTACGTCGTAGGAGATGCTATTATATATCGCTACGCGCCCCTGGTGAGGTAGGAGGCTTATGGAATTCGAGAAAATTATGAAATGCTGAGACATCATGAGCTTTTGACTGAAAAAAGTGTTGCCTACTCATCTGTTGAGATTAGGACTCCGAGCACTGTTTTGAAGGCGATGAGGATAGTTGTCCTTCCCCTTCTACCACAGTGACTTAAGCTCAGATGCCCTGCAAGCAGCGCACCTGGGCCTGTCCCCGGACTCTGACAAGCAAAGCAACCGGCTCAGCCGAGGCAGGATTCGAACCTGCAACCCAACAGCAGCTTGGGATAGATACTGGTTACACAACAGCCTACCAACTGGCCCATTGCATCATCTCGCCTGTTTTGTTGACATGACTTTCGTTTCTTTGGTTGATATAGGGACTGACGCGTCTACCTGGTACTTAGGTTCCTTCCTGTTATGGTCCGGGTCAAGGGTGAATGGTTCGTGCGTAGCAAACGTCAACTTTAAGGCAACTACCCTCTTGAAGACAGTAGACAAGGCATCCAAGTCCTCGACCCCACTTCAAAGAGTCAATTCTATCAATACCCCTACAACTCTATCCAAGACATCAAAGCCGGCAGCTTCTATCCTCTTTCGTCTGGAATTACCAAGAAAGGTAGCATCCAGAAAAATAGCTTTCCACCAGCCAACCCATGAGCCAAGCTCTTCCAGTGGCTCGAGCACTCAGATCGGACTGGGTCTGAAGTTTCCCAGCATCGATCCCAACGCCATGGTCGAGGGCAGCAATACGGCAGATGCGAACAACCTGGCATACCAATTCGAAGGCAGCATGACACTCCAATCGTCCGAAGAGGAGTCCATCAATCTCGCACAGTACGATCTTCGCGTTAAACTTGGCAACAACGGCGTGAACGCTGTACCTCCTCCTGGCTATCGTTTCTGGCAATTCAAGACCGCGCATGGCTTCAAGAAGATGTGACCGCGGGATGGCATGCGGTATATTGACCCCGCCAACGTGGACCACGTCTTCTCAAGCGGCCAGCGCACCAGCCACCTCGTCGACGCGTTCAAACTGAGCGCCGTCGTCGACAATGAAAAGTACAATTTCGCCTACATTGACAAGAAGATGGTAGAGATCATCAACGAGATGACCAAGCACGTCTCGAAATTCGATCCAAAGCGTCCGGTAAGCTGGATCAGATACGCCATCAACAAGGTGCCCGTCCTGCGCCGTCCGAGCGTCGATCCTTTCGTTACGCTCGAGCTCACGGTCCGGCTGGTCCGGGGCCGCCAGAACGGGCTCCGCGAGCCGCTGTCCGGCCAGGGACCCTGCCAGACGGCGTTTGCCGTCGATCGTTCCTCGCCGAGATGGCGCGTCCGCGCGGCCTCTTCCAGACAGTCTTTCCCGACTACGGCGGTCTGCTTGATGGATTGGATGCTGAGGGGAAGGTGCTTGGAGGCATGGGACGGATGGAAAGGCTGTCACGCTGGATGAAGGCCTGCGCCTGTTGATTACATCTGGACGTCGGATGACGAGGAGAGGGTAAGGCGAAGGGGCGCCGGAACGTGGAGGGGACGTCGAGGACTATGACGAGGGTATGGAGGATGACTCGAACACATTTGACCAGATGGAGGACGAGAATGACGCAGACGACGTCCACGGAGGTTGGTAAAGAACAAAGATGATATCAGAAAAGCGGTGCCGTACTCTATATAACCTAACGGAATGACTACAAGAAGCTGCTGACCTCACGTGTATGTAACCACATCCATTATTCGTCTCATCATTCCTTACGACTGGTTTCCTGGGGACGGTAATACATCGTTTCAAACGGTCTCCAGTATTCAAACTAAGGAAAATCCAAAATAACCTCCTTCGCCGTGGTTGAGCTAATAAGAAACATGACGCCTAGCGTCAATCCGGCGCTCGGCGCAGCAACGGCCGCCCATACCCACATTGCGTTACCCAGTTCAGATACTCTGGACTGCATCGACAGCAGCGTGGCGACGAAGCTCAACGGCAGGAACATCGTCGCCAGCCACGTTAGCCGGTGCAGATTGCGGTTGTCGGCCATGCTGCGGCGCGAGTCGTCGACGATGGACGTCTGCGCCGCCAGCTGGTTCAGACGCTCAAGACGCTTTTGAAACTCGTCCATAGCGCCGAGGGTTAGGGCGAAATCGCGCTGGTACGGCTGCAGTACAATGTCGGTGACGAAGTCGTGGACATGGCCATCATTGTTGGTCTGGTAAGCGAGCCAGGCCCGCGTATCAAAGCTACCTCACACGTATAGTTTCGACATGCGAGGAGGTGTGGAAAACGCGTAAGAGCATGTCCGAGAGCATTTCGCGGAAGGTGGGAATGAAGCGGCGCCACGCGTTGGGACTTGCGCATGATACTTTCGGGGCCCCCGCCAAAGTGTTGAGGGTAGGCATGTTGCCAATCAATGATATTCAGGCGGGTCTTGATATAATCGACGACCAGAAGCCACTCTGAGGCAATCAGATGGAGGAGGGCAGCCATTGGGATATGAATACGTGACGGGCATTTTTCCAAGGGCAGCTGAGGGAAGCAGTCTGGCTTCTGGGCCCAGTAAATAAAGTCGTCGAAGAAGGACCTTTGCCGGGGACCCTCCGGCAAGGGATCACTCCGCAAGGGATAAGGAGGCTTCTCCCAATTCTTGTATCCATTCCACAGAGGCACCCCTTTCTGTGTGGTCGGATCAAGGAGAAGGATGGCTTGTTGAAGAGGGTTCGTATGGTGAGTGTTGCAAGTCTCGATGTGCACATACCAGTCTCGGCTCTCCGAAAGAACCTCTCTTTTTGGTCCACAATGATGCCTTGGATCTCATAAAAGACGTAAGCGCGTCTGAATCATCCCACTTACACCCGCGGTTCTCGTCTTCATCTGCTCGACGCTCAACGTTGAACTTAATCTCCTCCCCACGAGCATCCTTGCTATAAGTCGTATCTTTTTGGAAGTACCGTGCGCGAGGAAACCTGATCTGGAACCAGCGCCGCTATTCAAGGTCAACCTCGAGGGTTGCGGCGTCTTTCCAGGGATCGCGTGGATTATTCCAGGCATAGGCGTATAGATGCTCGCGGAAGAAGTCAGGTTCTACACCAAACTTGTAACCAAGTGCTTCAATGACGGTTCGCGAGAGGTCCTCTACAACGAAGAGATGGAGTGTAAGAATCTGGTCAGGCTTCAAGCCAGCCAAGCCCGCTTTGAGGCTGTCTCGGGTCTTATATAATGTGCACTGGGGCGGCTTTTGGTCCCTACAATATTCGAGCAAGCATACGTTGGTGCGCAACATTCGTTCCGCTATCGAACCAGACTCGTTTTCGGCAGCTTTCTCCTGCCACCGTGCTGTGACTGTGCCGATGTTCATAAAATCGGCTAGCCAACGTAAGTGTGGCCACTGGTGGTCGGCGCTGGAAATATCCCTCACATGAGTGTGATACGGATCCCTGGTTGCTATCGATGCGAGTTCAACCACGTAGCCAAAGCGCAGAGCCTTTGCAGACGCAACAGTGATTGAGTGACGTACGGGTTTGGCTCCAAATCCATCCACTTCTCCCGCCATTCACCTTGGCCGCCATAGGCATCCCCTTATGGATATGGATTCACGCCCTCTTGTTTGACGAAATTGTATACATCCCGAATGACGGTTCCTTGTGGTATGGAGCTGCTGTCCGATGCGGATTTTTGCGCGTGCCCAGGGCGTGCGATGCATCTTGCGACAATATTGCTAGGCGTTGCTGGTGGCACACTGGTAGGACTTTCTCGGGATGATGAGGGAAAGATCAGATTATGGCAGCGCGCAAAAAGGTGGGAAGGGTGACGGTCTTTCTTATTCTGTTTCGAGAACGAGCGAGCAACGTGGCGGCGGCTCTTCAACCATGTCTGCAGCAACTGCCTCGTGCCAAAGTCTGCGGCCAGGCCATTTGATGGGGGTCGCACAGCGTATTTGGCTGTTCAGCTCATGCTAGACGGGCTGGGGCTGACTGTTCGATTACAGCATGCCATTTGCCAGCCTTGTCGTGGGCTCGGGTGTCAGCATTCAACTTGGGAGCCGTCATGTCGACAAAGCTTTGGTCCAGATACATCGTTGAGCGTAACGTCATTGTAGTGCCGGCCTCGGATCAACTGGGCAAAGTGGATGTCGAGGCTGTGGAAGGCATGCGCCACTCTTCTTATGATGCCTGGCAAGAAAGCTTAATGAACACTGCCGCAGTCGGGGGGGCCGTTGTCTGTCTAGCGGCCTGCCTGTCTGCGGTGCGACTTGGGCGCTGATCGGACGATGGGTACAACTGCGTCTCGGAAAGACCCGCACCTGCAAGGAGGGTGATGGGCCCTAGGCGATCGTTGATGGGCGATGATAGATAGAAGCTTGGATGCTGTTCCCGAGAGATATGGTTTCGATGGAAATGGCCAGACCACTGATGACTAAGTTAGGCACGTGTTGACCAAGGGCATCAATAAGGAAAATGGGGGGACAAGACCAACCCGAGGAGCCTGGAATGCAGTGCAGACTCGGGGTCTCGAAGCCACGTCCTCCCAGCGAACGGTCTGCGGGGATGGCCCGAGCCTAAGGTAAGGTAGCTGGCCCCATGAAGTGATCATCTGGGTCACACTCGGGAACCTGCAAGACCTTGTCTCGGGCGAGGAGAGATCGAGCGAGGTCCAGCGACGGTAGCCAGAATCCGAGCCAGAATATTTCCAGAATCCATGGCAGCCGAGCATCTAGTCATTCAGCTTCTCGCCTACCTAGTCAGGATCATCACGACAATCTCATCGATCCATCGTCGTGCCGCATGGGGTTGATGGCCTCTGATGGGTCAACACCAAGGCTGTGCTTGCTTGTCCAGGCGTCGGCCACGCGACTTGACGAGGCGAGGGGGAGGGGGGCCTGGGACCCGAATGCGATGTCTTGAATCTCCCTTGCCAGCTCGGTTTCCCTGGGCTGATTGCTGGTTCGAGGTTCAATTGGAGATGATTCGTGGTTCAGCGGGCAGCTACAGAGCCCCGAAAGCGAGACCGAGCGTTGGGGATCCTTGAAGCAGCCCCCTTTACCTAATCAAACTCGGGGCGCCAAATGGGGTCGCCTGTGAGCCCGACCAGTCGCCGTCGCTTGCGAGGGACCCACGTTGCACAACTCTTGTGCGCCGGAACGCGTGAGAGTATCACTTCCGAGAAGTATTGCATAAACCTTGTCCTAGATATAGGTCAATGGTCACCCGACTTTCTCGTTGCCCATCTTGAAAATTATGGTACCGATAAACTTCCTGCTTCCTTATTTTTTCCCTGGTCTTTTTTAATTTGGTTTCTTAGAGGGCAAAGAAAAAAAAAAGAGAAAAAAACGAACCACACACAGCCCACCATAACCTGGAACCTAGGTGCCACAGCTCCTGAAGCCATGGCCGACGAACGACCAGCAACAAATACGACAGATGTCGATCTGGAAAAGGGTCACAGCAGGCCGAGTTCTTCTCAGGAGCTCAAGCCAAAGACCGAGCCTGAGTCTGATTCCCTCCACACAAATGAGAAGACTCTCAACAACGAACCAGAACAGGAGCCCGAACACAACACGGAGCCTCAACCAGTCGATGACCCCAACCTTGTCGACTGGGACGGCCCTGATGACCCTGAGAACCCCATGAACTGGCACGACAGGCAAAAATGGCTCAATATTGGTCTCATCTCTCTGTTAACTTTTGTGACGTGAGTCCCCCCCCTGCTTAGCCTCGATCCGATGTCTCTGGCTAACACGCTTCTCCTATCCAGACCACTGGTAAGACGGATCCAGGATCATCATACTACCGTGGCTCCTACTGACACCTAGTTTCTCTTAAAATAGGGCTCTTCCATGTTCGCACCTGGTATCCCTGCCATCATGGTGCAGTTTGGAGAAACGTCATCCATCACGGCCACCTTTGTCGTCTCTGTCTATATTCTCGGCTTCGCCTTCGGGCCCCTCATCGTCGCTCCCGTCAGTGAGATGTGGGGTCGTCGCCCCCTTTACATCTGGGGCAACATCTTTTTTGTCCTCTTCTCGGTCGGCACCGCCCTCTCCCAGAACATGGATATGATGATGGCCTTCCGTTTTCTCATGGGCGTCGCCGGGTCCGTGCCGATCACTATCGGCAGTGGCAGCATCTCCGATATCATGCCCGTCGAGATGCGCGGCCGCGCTATGTCCGCCTGGGCCCTCGGCCCCCTACTGGGTCCCTGCATCGGCCCCGTCGCCGGTGGGTATCTCATCAGGGAGACGAGCTGGCGCTGGGTCTATTGGCTCGTCTGCATTGTCGTATGTGTATTCCATCCGTTGTTTCTCCAAGTCGAAGAGATCGCTAACAGACAGAACACAGGGCGGCATCTGCATCCCGCCCTCGTTCCTCTACATGAAGGAGACGTACGCCCCCATCCTCATCGAGCGCAAGGTCATGAAGCTGCGCAAAGAGACAGGCAACAACAACCTGCACAGCAAGCTTGACTCGGGCCAGAGCGTCGCCGACAAGTTCAAGATCGCCATCCTCCGTCCCGTCAAGCTCCTCTTCCTCGTGCCCATCGTCACGAGCATGGCCCTCTACGTCGCCATTGTCTACGGCATCCTTCTACCTGCTCATCACAACCTTTTCCTTTGTCTACCGCGACCAGTACGGGTTCGACGAGGCCACTGCCGCACTGACGTTCCTGCCT